GGGATATAAATCTAATGAAACTAGCTCAACCAGGAGGTTCCAACAGATAGGCATAGGCTTCTGTCCTCTTTCCTATCCCCCTTTTTCCTGAAGACGGAAGTAGAATTCAGCTTCCAGAACACTGTAGTGTTGTTATTTTATAATTTAGATAATGGAAAATATTCAAAAGAACAATTTGACATACAGCTGAATACAGTCTGCATCTTTACACCGTATTTTTTGAAATTAATTTCAATATTTATTTGTTGTATTAATTATCAGTACACACACATACATCCTGATAATGGTTTAAATTCATGATGAAATGTAAAGGATTTAAGAATACATTTTTAACATTTATATCTGATGATCAAATTATTTATAAACTATCATTTTCAATATTATTTATGGCTTTATGAGTGGGATTCCATTCCTGGCAGTGACAGAGGCAAGAATTTTTCTATTTATGATCACAAACAGATCAACTCTGCAGTCCTCCCAGCCTCCTGTCTAATGGAAATCCATTACACCTTAATATGGTCTTCGAGCCATAGTGTGGTCTGGTATTTCACACATCCACACATTCACATAGTAGCTACTGAGGTGTGGAATGAGGATGATATATTATTCTTAAATTCAGAGGCATGTCATGTGATAGGTCAGCACCATTACATCCCCTCAGAATGAGATGCATAGGAACCATGATATATTCAAAAGTTGTTTCCAATCTACACTGAATGTATGAACAGTAATTACAGTAATCAATTTATCTTTCTGTATATTTCCATTTTGTAACACTTAAAGATCAAGACAAATGGTATATATACAACTATCTTGACTGTTGTTATGTGTGTTTTTGTAATATGGTGTCTGATTTTGATAGAAGAACATACATAACAAGTGTCTCAAAAGAATGTGCACAAGAAAATATTTAAACCTAACAAGGATGAGCAGAATGGGTGGTTTAAGATATTACATGACAAGGAACTTTGTGATTTATACCTTATTGGTTACCTATTAGATGGTACAGAGAAGATAACAATTACAGAATTTTGGTTAGAAAATCTCTTGGAAGTGTGAGAAGGATATAAGAAGATAACATTAAGAAGGCTCCTAGGGAAACATATTGGGTGGATGTAATTGGCCCAGCACAGTAGTAGTGGTGGTGGTGGTGGTGTTGACCCTTAGGTTTCCATTACCATTCTATTTGAATCTCCATGTCACTAGATCCCTTCAGTCATATGTGAATTCAATATTTCAGCCGAAGTCCTTTAACAATTTATACGCTGTATGCATAATGTGTTCCAGACTTACCATTGATGACATTTTTGTACTGCATTTAGAAAGTAAGTAAGCAGCTTCACAATCCTTTTTTTCAGAAACTGTAACATACAGGACAAAGCAAAACTCATTAACACTTAGTTACTTCTGTAGTATAGTCAGAACTATTACTAATTTTTCTGATAATCATTACATTAAAAGTGAAATACTGTGTTATGTAAACCAACAGAAGAAGTACATGAATTCAAATTTTCAATAAATCTAATTAGTCAGGATGGAAATACTGTGTTATGTAAACCAACAGAATAAGTACATGAATTCAAATTTTTAATAAATCTAATTAGTCAGGATGATGAGAGAGATTTGGAAAATTAAAATAAAAATGTAGCAGGATGAGCAGAATAATTTATAGACACTGGCAAAATAATGTCACAGAATATATATTTGAAATTACACAAAAAGTGATTAAACAAGTGGTGAAACATGGTAGCAAAACATGGACATGAGATAACAGAGAAAATAAAAATATAACTGAAAAGTTAGAACTTTAAGACCCTTATATCGAGGCTGCAGAAAAATGTCACATGGGTTGTGGTGTTGACATTAACTGAGGCTTCCTGTTCCCTGCCTGCTCTAGTATTTTTCACAGTTGACAGAATGATATACTATCTTAAAAATTAAATCCGTGGCGTAACAGCTCCAGAGAGCCAAAGCCGACTAGCTTGACTGCTGGCCTCACGTTCACATAACTAAGCAGAGGTGAACGATCATCCAACCAGATGTAGGGTGACGTGTGGTCAGCACGACGAACCCCCAGCCATTGCTAGCTTTCCTGACCGGATTACGCTACTTATTGTAACTCCCCAATTTCCTCATGATGCTGGGTTGGCACTGGTCCCATACACTGGTCGAAAGCTCATGAGAAAATTTCTTCTCCCCCGAGACTCGAACCAGCGCGCATTCTGTATCGCCGGTCCATAGCATGATGCCTCAGACCCCGTGGCTACGGCGTGGGACGATATACTATCTTATGCTGTCTTAAAAAATTATTGTGTGTGTGTGTGTGTTCACACATAAATGTCACAAACATTAGTCAAGATTTTTACCCTGAAGTGCATGGTGCAATGCAGAGTGTACATACCTTTCTCATAACATACAGGAAATACACGTTCAGCTTCTTTCTTCATTTGTATATTTGTCAGCTTGGGTATAAATTTTTGTATCTCATCCTTTAGAAGAGCACCATTTGCATCCATCTGGACAAAGTGAAAACAAAGTCAGTGTAAGACTGAACATTTCAGTAACTATTTCTTGACAAAAAATGCAAAGGAGAATCTATTTTCAGTGATGCACTTTCTACCAATTAACTCTTACATACGATCCACAAAGGAGGTGGATATATTCCAACACAACCTTTTTCAAACTTATTTTAGTTGTTTGGTGCAACACACATAAACATAATGCAAAACAAAGTAAAAATGACATGTGCTCTCACAGCCAAATCAAAGAATGTAAATCAAATGATAATAATTCTCCCACACTTTAAAAACACATAAGAGTCTATTAACACTGGAGTCAGAAAAGACCCCAAGTGTGGTATGAGGGTTAACCTTAATTTGCTTTATCAAATTAAACAGGACAGGTTAAACAGTGCAACACACTTTTCTTCCTTCTCCTTCTTCCAAGAAATTCACTGAATATCAAGGATTCAGTTAATATATTTATATAAAAACCTCTCAGAATGTAAGAAGTGGGAAATTGACATCAAGTATAACCCTCTCTGGCCTAAGCAGTCAAATGGCTGTACAGAAATTGTCTTTCCTGATATCAGCACTCAAAAACGTGTTGTCTTCCAGTTTCCTACAAAAATCAGTTTGAGAGTCCATTCACTTCCTGATGTTTCAAATGGATTGTGCAATATATGAGAGCAATGTTCACTACATGTATTGGCTCCATTTCCTGAGTTAGTAAATGAGATAATGTGAGATTACCATCTTTTGTAAATAGACTTAAAATATGAGGTTACACTGACATCTTCTTTATTTGACAATGCTTTCTCAACAGCATGGGTTATATAGCACTGGGAAAGATTTAAAAGGAATTGTTGCAACCTGTTTTGAGATAATAACCAGTGGTTTTCTGGAGAGTTAGAAAAATTACAAAAAATTTCAGTTATGATAGTTGAACTACAGGCCAAAAATCAAACTCAGAACATCCTGAGTACAAAGTAGGAACACTAGAACAGTCACCATTTAGTCACGATGTTCTGTAACTTACAGTCAGGCTAGGGTCAGCAGAAAGTTAAAACGTCATATCAGATCATTCTCAGCCTTCCTTTGATAACTACAGATAACTGCAAGTACTAACTGGACCACATAACTAACTTTATTGCCTTATTTAAGGAGTGTTGTAATGTCTATACTTACAGTGCCAAATTTTTTTGCCATACAAGCTGTTGCACACTGGAAAGGAAAACAACAATATCAACATATACACAAGTATTTTCTATTTCTCTCTTTGTGGAATTTAATTTAGATTTGTAGACTACTATCTGTTTTGTAACATATAAGACAAGGGGAACCAATACTCACAAAATGCATTGATATTCTACCTTATGAATAGCACTATCATGATACTGGAAAACCACACTTAAAAGAATAATAAAACCATACCAACCTTGCATGGAGTATATTTGTCCTGAGTGTCATCAACGCCTTCATCAAGTAATTCTTTACACACAACTGAAAAATATAGTAGATATTGGTAACTGATACTACACAAAAAGTTCAGAAATAACTAATTACCTAAGTCTGCAAATAAGTTTAACAAAACATGTAACATGAATAGGAAAAATTAGAAATGCATATAAGACTTCACTGGGAAAACCTGAAGTGAAAAGACCATTTGGGAAAATGCAAAATATTAAAATGGATTTTTTGGGAAATAAATGTGTCAAGTGACTCAGGTTAGGACCAAATTATATACATCCTTGCCCTTCTCAGCATTGCCACCTCAGCCCTGAAAATAGACAGTATGGTTCTCCAGAACATTGGCATCTACTGACAAATTTACATGGCAGCGTAACCCATATCAGTTATCATCCTTACTGTGTGAAAACCTCAAATCTCATTTTCACACATATTTGAATCTCTGTGGAGCACCTACTGAAATGACGCCTGACTGTCCATCAGAATGCATTGAAGAACTTGAATGGCTGAATGGATATTCATGATATTGGATTCTGGAGAGTACTACTAAAATTTTCAGAATTCTCCAGTTCTGGTTAAATGGACAACAGTAACAGGCACTGAAGTGACTATGGGAGGAGAATATCTAGGCTACCTTGATTGAAAGTCAAAGACCAATTTCTGGCGAACATGCAAGAATTGTATGTTATACATATTCCCAAAATTCTAAAAAGGTCTGATCATGGTATATTATAATCAGTATTACTAGGTTCTTAGTTTTGTACATAATCTAGTATTCTTAATAGAACATCACATTTTAAAAACTGGGTGTGTTTCCATGACAAACCACTGGAAACAATTTAAAAATCCAGTAAAACTAATTTCCTAGCTTTTTAAAGTTAAAGTGTGTATACTTGTATTTGGGAGGTTCCCAATTTAAATCTCAACCAGGCAAATACTGGGACAGTACCATGAAAAAGAAGATAACTGCTTGTTTCCAAATTCTTAACTGATTATCATTCATGACCATCATCTTTCCTTCAATGACACACAGCCTCTGCAGTTGATACAGGTCATAACATTATTTAAGAACCTTTTAAATGCAATATAAACAAATTACTGTAATAACTTACCAACATCCACATTGCCTTCTTTTACGCATTCCTGTGCTTTCTTCAGGAATTCAGTCTTCAAATCATCTCCACCCTAGACACAAATTGAAAATAAATATTTTTACATTGTTTAGCGTACCACTGTAATATCTTACACTGTAAAGTGAAACCTCATTTAACCGACCTATATGGGGGGAACTATGGGTCGGATAAACCGAAGTCGGATGAGTGGGGGAAAGGGGAACGCTGTCATGGATATGAAAAAATAAATAAAGACAAATATATAATTAGCATAGTTGAAACAAAAACATGCAAATCATTGTTATAAATAATGAAATATACAGAGATTCAATACAGATTTTCCTCGGAAGATGATGACTTTAGTGAATATAATATTAAATAATAGTGAATTTATCAGTCATTCTGAGTTGCTGTCCATCAATTGATGTGGAGGTTCTGGTGTGATTCTGCTGATGTCAGTTGATTTGCTTGCTATGTTGTCTTGAACAAGGAGTAAGGGTTCACATTCTATAGGAACAAGCAGGTTTAAAAAAGCTATGCGTTTTCAGCTGGGTTGTTTTTTGTCTTTGTCTGCAAATAACAAATTCTCTAAATATCCTGAAGTGATCATAATAATCAGAAAAATCTGGATGTGAGGTTAGATCAATGAACTGTACCGCGTGGGCATCGCTTTACTGACTCTCGCCAGTAGAAACCGATCTGGTTGAAATTCGGTTGGTTAATAGAGGTTTTACTGTAGCCCAAAGTATGATTTTAACATAAAGAATTTAAATATAATATTTTCCAGCCATTTTTCTCTTAGTGTATAACAAATAATTTCTTCCATCCTCCCTGTTATTAGCAATTTAAATTTTTCTTCTGTATCTTAAATTTTAGTTTTCTTGAAGATTCCACATCTTGTATCTTTATATCTTCAAACTTGTTACTAGAAAGTATACATTATTTAACTACAAATCTTCTGGCACATGGCCCTCCATGATCAAACTAACACATTCATATAATTGAATCTGTATATAAAATGAATGTATGTGTACTCTTCATTTGTGAACTGTGTATTTATCATCACTGATGACACAAGGACTTCTTCTTATGAATAACCAGACACAGACCAAACAAAATTTCTACAATTACTGAACACAAACTGCCTATCAAGTAGTGGAGTGCACACATGGCATGGGAGAGTCCACTATCTCAGACCTGGTTTGGTAACTTTGTTGGAACCAGCAAACTATGAGTTCAAAATGACTGGTTGTTCACAGATTTGAATACTTAGTTGGAAGAAGTTCATTGTTATGGCTGTTCATTTAAAGATAAGTGAATGGATGGTGTGTGACGCTAGGACAGAAGGATAGCAGGAATAGATTTTTCAGGCAACTTTATAACTGGTGAGATTTCAACACATTTTGGTACCATTTCTCACCCAAAATAAGCCAATGAATAACCACTCAAAGACTACTACTACTACTACTATTACTACTACTTACCTTTTATCATCATATTACTTTCTTCATAGGCCTCCATAGTTTGAGGTTTACACGGCAGTGAGTCTGAAGATGGTTGTCTTCTGTGTTGTTACGCCGTGTAGTGTGGTAGAAGTTTACCGACATTTAAGAGGTCCTTGCTGCCTCCATCATCAAGGTAATCACCTTGATGATGGAGTCAGCAAGGACCTCTAAAATGTCGGTAAACTTCTACCAGACGACACAGCGCAACAACCCAGAAGACAGCCATTTTCTGCCTACATAGTTTACTTGTGCACATTATTTCTATACCAGCTATTACTGTCTTAAATATACACATTTAAAAGCATATAAATCAAGATATTTTTTAACTCAGGTGACACTGATTCTCACTTCTCCTTAGTTTATCCACAGGCCATAGCATAGGCGACATTCTGTAACTTACCAGGGCAAGCCCAAAAAGAGAGAGTGAAATGATAAAAATTGGGGTCCTCATGCTGAACATCACAGTTCTTGTGATTAGCTGTTGTCTCGGTAGTCACCAGAATACTGTCCCCTCTGAAATAAATCATTCTTATATCTACAGCACATTTACACTAAATTAATCTGTGCTTTTTTCATTGACCTTTTGATAAATTATCTGGTTCATATAATCATAGGAAATCCTTTCATGTTTGCACAACAGTACTCAATGAAACAACAGTAGCCACTATCAATTAAAAACACAGGAACTTCATTTTGACTTCATAAAAGCATAGAATAATCTAAATGTTACATCATCAGAATTTTTTAATTGTATTATATTTCTGTAGCACACTGTTCATGCAGTAATCCATATGCAGTACTACAGCTACAATAAGAAATGATTATCCTGCAATCTGTATGTGAGTCTGTTCATTGCAAACTACTCTACTAAATACTTAGGGAAAAGATATTAAAGAAATAAAAATACATCTTATCTTTTCAAAACATATTTCAGAAAGATTACTATTATTTTGAATATCTCAAATAAATTTTAAACCCCCATGCTCTCCACGGCTGTCACAATCTACAAGACCATGAATGACACAAAATTATTTGGATCTGGTATGCTGTCATGTGTCAGAGTATATGAACACCTGAGGGAGAAAGAGGCTAGCATTGCTGTGAAGCAAAATTGTAAGGCCCCACATGAATACTGTTTCCAAAATTATTCTATGAGTGTAGCCCTACCATAAGGTCCCCACTACTATCACAAACATAGTGGAGGTCTACACTAACAATGTAAAGCAATTTTAATTTTGGTTCCTGTCAGTCAAATATAAGGCATGCTTTACATGTTTGCATGTGTGTGTGAAAATAAATTAATAGAATACTTAATAAAATAAGAATATAGACACTTCACCTTTTATCATATGTGAAGAGGGGATCTTAACTCCTGTACTATGGAGCTGCTGACTTCCACATTGGGGTTAACAGTTTGGGCATATACTAGTTCAACACATGGCCAGCTAAACTGCATGAAAGCCATGGCACATGCTCAGTAAAGGTTAAGAGTATATACTGAGCCACCCTCTTTTTTCTGGAAAGGAATATGCCTTGAAGAGGAAGCAGCAGATGCTTTTCAGTGAACAGTAAACAAGAAAATGAACATAATAAAATGCAGATGTACCTATGTGCAAGTTTCATAAGATACATGTTTTTGTTATTTTATGGAAAAAAGCTATCTGTATGACATACTATAGTGTACCACCAGAAAAAAGTCCAGATTAATTAATGTGACTGCAATATTATTATAAACATGTATCATTGAATCAAATAAGAATAGACAGGAAGTGGATTACATGAAGGTCTTAATTTGGTGTTTATTTGCAAACTAAGGAAAATAAAGAAAATCCTTAATTTATTCAAAACTATCAGCCCCTGAATCTATTTAAGAAATGTTCCACATGCAGGACAAGTACAAAGGTTGTTAGGTAACTTACCTAGTAATCATATTTCTATTGTAACTAGAAATACAATTCAATGTAGGTTAGATCTTCATCATTTGAATGTGATAACATAATGACATACACTAGTTTGTATATGGGAACTCAATAACTTAACAGTTGGCTAACCATGCATGTTACAACACAACCCCATCCGGAATGAATTACACTTCATGTTCATGATTTATGACCATGAGCTGGACATTAACAAATTTGATAAACAAAGTAGGTACCTACCTTCTAGTTTCAACTTTTAAACACTGCTAAATAAAAGCAGCTTTAGCCATTTAAAGACCAGTAGTAACTATATGTATAACCTGCTTTAACAGTCAGTAACTCTGCATTTTGCACACAGACTGTTTTTATGTGTTTTTGGAACTCTGTTACAGGGATATACTGTGTTTTTTTAAAGTAGGAACTAAAGTTTTAAATATTATTTACATGGTTTTCAGCTTCAAAGGGTTATATCAATAGTTCCATTATTAATAAGTCAATAAGTGACTTCACATCTAAAAGAACAATAAAAATCTCAATCAATTAAACATCAAAATTCAGTCTGCATGTAACTGTTCTACTGAATGGTCATTTGTTGACAATGTATCATCTGCCAACATACCAGATTTGAAATATGTAACACAAAGAACATGCCTTTCAGTATTAAATGCACCAAAACCTTTTCAAGAAAGAAATATATTGGCATTCAGAAATGACAAAGGGGAAAAAGTAACCATTTTTAGGTCTTCCTGATAAAAATATACATTACTCAAAACAAATACTTCAGGTACAGAAAAAAGGTCATCATTACTTCAATTTCCAGTACTCCATAATTTTCTAGTAACACATTCTTATGTTTAATTTGAGTTTGTTTTATAAAAAAATGTGGTAGTACTATGTACTAGTAATATGTTGTGTACCATCAGTCAAGAAGAGCCGCACACAACCAGGTCAGAAACTGTCAAATGATTAGACAACCCATTACTACAATTCATGTAGTCAGGAATCTGACAGTATCAACTGAATTGCATTTGAAGAGATGCTTTATATTGTGGCTGACACAAAATGTGTTTTAGAGGATGAAAGTTGTTTATAGTGAACAATCACAACTGGGAGATAACTGCAAGTACATATCATACACAAAAAGTACGTTGTATTTTCCTACCAATTTTAGGTACCTTTGTAATTTGTATCAGGTGGTTAATATAATATTAAAAGACATTTTATTAGATAAATTATATTTTATTATTACTGAGACTAAACAATTCAATTCTCCATGCATGACTTTCTCATGATCTTTTAGCCATGAAAATTTGCAGTTTTGACATTATTTGTAAGATTTGAGGTTTTCACAGCGGTGAGTATGAAGATTCCTGTCTTCTGGGTTGTTGCGCTGTGTAGTCTGGTTGATGTTAGCCAACGTTTCAGAGGTCATACTGCCTCCATCATCAGGGCAGTGTTTAAGCTGCTGAAATTTTATGTATTCATACTTAAATATCACTTTACATCCTCTTATCCTAACTTTCCACATTCATCTTCAACTTTAACAACATCTTTCACATTAACTTGAAAAACAGGTGTAATAAATATCAGACATGAGGTTCTTATGACAATAAGGATGATAATGATGAAGATTTCTGTCTTCTGGGTTGTTGCGCTGTGTTAACATCAACCAAACTACACAGCGCAACAACCCAGAAGACAGAAATCTTCATACTCACCGCTGTGAAAACCTCAAATCTTACAAGGATGATAATGATCTTCATGGTTGATATCAAACTATGAGTCTACATGGTATCGCAATCCAGATCACCATCATGTGAAATAAATTATGAGTTATAATAATGCAATATAATCTGGCTAAAAACAAACCTACATTAAATAGAAACCTCCTTTTAACTGAATTCCTCTGAGTCCATGAATATAGAATGAAAATCAATGTTAAATTACCATAGTAAACAGAAAATGTTTGACGCAGCAACAGAAATTTTAAATATCTTATTTTTATTCATACACTTTTGTTTTCACCATGCTTACTGGAATTTATCTGAAAAGAAATGTTCTTTTCACAGATGGGAAGGAGTAAATTCTAGTTGTCTACAAAATTATGTGCAGTATATTTCAATGGGCTTTGTGGTAGAGGAGAGGCAGGGAGAAAGAAAAGAAAAACAAAAGGAACGAATGTAAATATGTACTACTAGCAACAGTGTAATATGTATACATGTCACATGCATTTCTGGTTTCTGAATTGGATCATAGATACATGCTGTATGTACATTACTGTGCAATCTAGGATTCAAAAAACTGTATTAAATGGGAAATCTGTCTGATATGGAATAATGTCCCAATCTTTCAGGATCCTGTTAAGTAGAGTTTGTGTGTGTCTGTAGGTCTACAAGAATGTTAAGATTACTTTATGAACAAGTTATGCATCTGCATAATTAACTTTACCTGTAATAAATCAATAAAATAAATTAAGTAACAGTAATTGTTCTTCACAATAAATTAATAATGAACACAGTGTTTTACAAACAAAAATTGTTTTCTGAATATTACAAAATCAACATTTGTTTCACAAATGAAATACATACTAAATACTTTGGCACAGGGAATTACTACAAACAGAACTTTGATCTATATGGGTGTCTCATTCACTTGGGAGCTTCAGAGTCAATGATAAAGTTTTTTTTTACCATTTACATACCCAATATCACCATGTGATACAACCTTTAAATGGAACTAAGTTATGTTTAGATCTCTGACAACATTTTATGTGTTTAGAATTAAATGGTGCTACTCTGACTTAGCACAATCATGCTTATGCAAAACCTGTATATCATATCCCATAAAATACAAACAGGAATCAAATGAAAACAAGACATCCTCCTTGTGCATATTTTATCATACCACAGTTTGAATGACAGACCCCATACCAAATGTTACAGCATTTAAGGAGCAAAGAACTGATATACATACACACACACACACACACACACACACACACACACACACACACACGTGGTGTGTGTGAGAAGGCAAAGTAAAAGCAACATAATTTCATGATAACTATCTGCTTATACATAGGGACATTTATGATGTGTTATGAAGCAAACAAGAAAGGATAAAATATGAAACCAGTATATTATGCAGGATTTTAAAGTAGAAACATAACAAGAAAAATCAGCCAAACTAAGGAAACAGTGAAACAGGCATGTGTTACACACTGACAACATGATTCCTTTAAAAGCTTTGAAAGCAAAGATGTTGAATAAAAATTACTGGAAACACCAAGAATAAAGCAGAGAGTCCAAGTGATGGAGGACATATAAAACAAGTTACACAAAGTGTGAACATAGATTCAAGAAGAGCAGTTATGAGAGGACAGGGAAGAATGGAGAAAGCTGTCGTAAGATGACCCAGCCTGGTGGAAATATCAGTAGGCGATAATGATAAAACACTTCATGCAAAATCCAGAAAGGCACTTCAGGTTAATGTCTGTAACTTCCAAATTAGAAAATTCAAATTCAGAGTATTCAAAAACTTGCTACATAAATCATTATAAAATTTTATATGGTCATATTTTGTACACATTCCAAACTTTCAAATTTAGAAAAAGGCTAAGTTTATTTCTATTATATTGAACAAGTTATGTAAAATTCATATTATTGTCCACTACAGCAGGGGTGTAACATAGATCATATTAATTGCTATATTCCATTAGAAACATTCTTTGATTTGATTAACATACAATGAAACATTTTTAAAAATATATTTACAATCCTACTCACTAAGGTGCCACTCTTCATCCACCACCAGTATTTTAGTTAAAACAGGGATGACAGTTAATAAATTTTTTGTTTGCATGTATTTTTATTTATTAATGTATTAAATTTCTGCAAAATGGTATAGTAAGGATCTTGAAGGTGAAAGGCAATATGAAACTTAACTTTTATAACAGTACCTACCTATACCATCTCAAAGAGTATTCATCTTTACTATGAAATCATGTTTTTGGAGCAAAATACATGCCAGTTTTTGTACACAAAATCTGCCCATCTGCTGTCCAGCTACTTTCACTGACTCATTTATAACTCTAACAGTGTCTGTTCCATTTTCTCCAGTCACATGCCCCATCCAAATAACTAACACATCCTCAAATATTTTAACACTGACATGTTACACTGTCCCATTTATTTCTTTTACTACACACATCACCAACAGTGTGGACAGATGGGTTAACCCCACGAAGGGAAGAAATTTTTGGCAATATTTTGCTGGTTTGCACTGAGATACAGTTCTTCAAAGGCACATACACCTTTTCCTCACCAGCACTTCCCCCCCCCCCCCCCCCCAATAAACTGATTATACACACCTGTAACTGTGTGTTTTTCCTGTGATTAATCTGGTAACTGTATTCAAACATAGTATGTTTGCACACTGTTTGTCATTTACTCAAAGAAAGTATGTAAAAATGACTTTCACTATGAAAGAGTTCACTAGCCCTATGAAACAGCAAAAATTATGTGGATCTGTAATTGTCCTATCCATATACCTGGAAATTTACCTGTTCCTGCACACAGCTTAATATCAATAATGTTCCCATTCTCAAATTAATACCCTTCAATTTGGAATGTTATTATTTACATTGCTAACCCCACATAACACACAACTCCCTCTCTGAGGCACTATAAATAGGTTATCTGAGTATGTTATGTTAATGCAGAAGTCATTTACAACTAAATATTTGAGAGAGTTGCTGCATAACCGGTGGAAACAAAATACTGTGGTACTGTATAAGACTTTATTGTAACAATTAGCTGTACAATAATATTATCACAAATGTTGGTGGATGGTGGCATTTTACCAGATGAACTCCCTTCGAAATTACATAGGAATTTCAATTCTGAGGCTTTCATGAGCAGAATGTGACAGTAGCAGCACACAGTACGGTGCCATATTAGGGTTTGCCTGTATTTTCCATGGTCAGTCTGAGTTAAACATCGACTGACAAATGTTATACATCTACTCCACAAGAATGTTGGCTCTACAATGCCAACTGAATATATTTTGGAGCTCCAATAAAAGAAGTTTGGAGTACCTTCGATCTAGATGGTGTATTATGTAAAAAAATAAATAATGTGCCATTAATTAAAAGCAGCATGTATCTCTACCCATTATCTTGTTTTCATTTAAATTCCCCTTGTAATAATGCATATTCCAAATAATTTCTATAACTAAATTAGCACAGCCTTGCAAGTAGGATTCCATTATTTCTGATCTACTGAACTACAAAATCATACTCCTTATATATGGATTTTGTATATCCTTATTTATATTTTAAAATAAATATTAAAGAGTCTGAAAAGTGAAAAAAGTACATTAAATTATATTTAAAAGTAAGATCCCTGGAACTGAGATTTGCAGGGCTGCATTAACATGAGATAAAGTTGACAACATGCACAAACAATATTTAAATGTACCACAATGGCATACTAATTGAGTTTGTACTCATGTTTGCCCACATAAAATTCAAAGCTTTCAACAAAAAAATCAAAATTATTTTGATACTTATTTGTAGATTCATGATATCTGTTGTCCAAGAAGTGAAGTGTTTGATTTTCATCTGGTGATGCTTTACAACTATCAGAATAGCTAATGTCTCCCAAACATGGATGTCCCTATGGCTGTCAAAGTATGCCTATGAATTAAAATGAAAGTTTGAACCTAAACACACATGTTCAGTGATGGTTTAACTGTTATACTGAAAATATGTTATTATAGCTATTCTTCAGTTATGCTAGGTATTTATGAGTCACAGAAATGTTGATGAACAAAACACTGAACCTGGGAAACTATCAATACAACAAGAAAACAATTATTAAACTGTCTGACAATAAATGTTCATTCAAGATAGGAACTAAAACATGAACTTAATGCTACATCATGAGTATAAAAATGTTAAATGTTTTGGTAGTGTGGTCTTCTACTGGCTCAATGTCCATCATCATCTGTCTTTTGCCTCATAAGATGTGACTGCTTTAGGAGCATAAGCATTTGCCTGAATGTGATTAATCGATTCAAGCCATGTTAACTAACATCACAGCCAAGTGATTAATACTCTTGCCTGGGAGGTCCACGATTTTAATCTTGTTTGGAGACTGGCTATCCAGACAGACTTTTGTCATTTTCGTAAGTCTCTCTAGGTAAATTCCTTAAAACAGGCTATGGCTATTTTCATATCCTTTTCAATTCACCATTCACAATTATCTTATCTTTGCTACTATAAAACTATTGCAGTTTAAATGTTTACTGCATGTTTTTGTGCTTTTAGTGAAATTGCTTTTAATTTAAATTTTATTTTAATCTCTTTATTAAAAAACAAAATTCAGTCAGTTACAGCCATTTTTAATCAATCTGCATTAGAATCCACAAAAGATATTTCATATTACAGACTTCTCATTTCAATGTTAAAAACCTTTTGTGTGGAACTTCTTTACAGAATTACTAGTCTACTTACTCAGTAAGTGTAATGTCAGCAAATAAACCAGAAGAAAAGTATCTTACATTTAACCATGGAAATTACATGATTTTCTGTTAACCTTTTGAGGGGTATGATTATTGTTAATTATTATGTGTATTGGACTGGAATAATAAATGTTGAAAATAGCTCACAACATATCACTTCAAACACACACACTTTACAAAAATATTGTTTATATTTTTTAAAGCCAATTTTGGATACATTACAAACTTCCTTGTATCATATGTTGTATTAAAAAATAGTATTATTATTCACCTCTATGCTATGTCATCAATTCTGGTAAATGCTCTATGCTTCTTTTATGCACCTTTGGGCTAAATGGAAACAAATGTGACAGAACTTGAACTACAAGAAGAGCTTATTTTTGGTTAACTCACTAGCATTTCATGCTTTACACTTCTTTCCATGGCCCTATAAATTTTTCAACCATGTCACAAAAATATATTTAAAAATCCCTGCAATTAAATATACATTATTGAGAAAGCACGTTACTGTACATCTTAGAAGTCTCCTGATGTGTCTGTCAATTGTGCTATTTATCCCATACCCAAAAACAGAAAATATCCCAGCAGTGTTCCACCTTATATGATACACTATTTATTTTTAGAATCAATGTGTCGCAGTCTAGAATGTGATTCTTGCACTGTCAGCGACACCAACTTCCCCAGTCTTTCTTTGAGCCACAGAAACAGTTTCCGTAGGGGAATAACTGGTGATTCATACTCATTAGGAACAATACCATCAACAGATGATTCAAAGAAACTGAAGAGTGGGAACCATATTCGAGTTCTGTTCGAATCTCTTTGCATTAAAGCCTGATTATTAGCAAGTGTATGGTAATAAAGAAACAGACGTGAAGTAATGTAGAATGCAACAAAAACATCAATTGAATAATGCTCATGTGCTGACAGAATGAAAAATATGCCAAACATGTTGAGAAGCCATGTGAACGTATGGACAAAGTACAGATGTCGAGGTGTATCTGAAACGAAAGTGAATATAAGGCATTAAAATATGAAGTGAGAAAGGAAATTGTATAATTTAGATCTAATTCCAAAACTGAGATTAAATATCCAGTTATAAATAATACTCAAAGATAAGCGATGGCCACAAAATGTATACATTATCAGTTTAGGGCAATAATCAAAAACATTTCAGCAAGCAATGTTAAATTTGAGATGAGTCATAAATGATATTTGAAACATTCCTTGCTAGAAATTAAAAACATAAATACAAATGACATTTTTTGGTTACGTCTGACATATCTAAAGTAGAGGGAATCAATGTAAGTGAATACTATGCACAGAAATATATTTTATGGCATGTAATTATTAATTTATAATTCCTGCTAGGATTTTTGTAGATAATGATGGAAGTGTTTAGAAAAAGGGAGATATGAATTCTTTCAAGAGATACTGTGAAATGCAGCATGAAAACATTCTGTGGACTTGAGTCCATATTGCTCGTTACAGTCTCTCTCTTGTCCAGTAAATTTGGGGGTATCCTCACTGCTTCTGCGTGTTTGGAAGTCTCCAGTTTGACTTCTCATCAGCAATGTAATCGTCATGCAGTTCTACTTCTACTTTATTACATTCTACAATGCTAACTTCCTCATATGCAGTGTTAGCTGCCAACTCCATTTGTTTAAGTTCTTTCTGCATTTCCAATTTATGATTCAGATCATTCATAAAGTACACACTATGTATTTTAATCTTAGAAGTGAATCCGAATTTATGTATGGCTTTTAACGTTAAAACCATTTTTCTGGGATAATCTGTCTTGTCTGCTTTAGTACAGTTTTTCTCCACATTTTATAATCAGCGATTTTAAAGATATTTCCAATGCATCTTTTAATTTAAGTGGCCATAGCTAAATTTGGTCATTGGG